TAATACAGTCGTGTGCTGAATGAAATGTATCGCTTCTTTATGTTGTGTTCTTTATCGTGCGAGTTACGTTCGTGCCAGTCGAGTCTCGTCTTTTTGTTCACTTTTGTAACTGTCTCACGCAGTGAGACTGTACACGTAACTGCAATCGTTGTTGAATCGACAAGATATAGCTATTACCGGTGGTATCTTAGATTAGACGATTTTAGTTTTCTTTCTCTTTTTTTTTTGTGTGGATGCGCTCGAAAGTTCTATCAATCGCGCAGAAGGAATTATCTACAGATTAATTTTCCTTTTTTCTCCGAATGCGATCGATGAACTGAAAGATTTTGTAATCTTTGTCGAGTAACTTGTTCTTCTTTTCTCTTGATTAAATAATTTTTCTTTCTTTGTAGTTGGAAACTTTGTATCGTCTTAATTTTTTTCGCATACGGGATATTTTGGTAATAACTCGATTTATTATACACACAGACACACAGGGCATTTTCTTTTAACATTAAATTTTTGCATATATTAATCCGTTTCTCTTTAATAAAAGTACCAGTGGCGGATGCGTGTTTCGACATATCTCCCAAGTCCTAAGTGAAAGTTTAATCCGAACACATTAGAATTCATTAGAATCTTCGACTTGAGGAAAACTATCTTCGGGATACCATGTTTAAACATCGTGAATAGTCAAGTAGGAAAAATCGGACCGATACATCACTGCTGAATATGGTATATAAACTGAATTTTATCAACACACAGCCGTAGTATCAATTCACGGTAAATCGAATTCAACAATAACCTCCTGCCTTTCCAATGAATTGTGGATCGACTATTTTGTCGTGAAAATATTTTTATACAGATATTTCATCAATACAAATATTCACCAAAGATTACATAAATAAGGAGGCTATGCGCTGTAAGATTACTATCTTGGTAAATAAATACACGCAAGTATCTCGGAACACGTTTCCGCCAATTTATACTTGAACATGTACAGAGTGTTCTTAAATAGATCGATGGACTTTGACAGTGTGCACGCAGTTTTACTCGCTTTGGATGGAGGAAGATTATGCGATCGTAGTTGACATACATATCGAAACTACATTTTTCCGGATTATAAATACCTTTCTATTTACGCAGAATTTTGCAAGAATTTTTAAATCGATTGTTAAAGCCATCCTTTAGCACGTTTTACATTGACTAACCACTCTTCATTCTTTTCTAGTTGTAAGAATTAAAAAAAGAGAAGATTGTAGAAGTTGAATCGCGATTAAAGTTAATCTACAATCTACATTGAGAAAATAGAAAACAGACAATAGATCCCTTTGGTAATATAAGATTAACTTTAATCTCTCGGTTTAATTCTTAGAATTGAAGAAAAAGATCAAAAGTAAATTGAGATTATAAAATTAATCTTATGTTGACCGAGTCAGACCTTATAGATCGAAATGCTGGTTGGTAGATGAATATACGCATCTTTTTGCTCCGACGTACGAGTATATTATAGATTCGTCACTGTTTAACGCAACGATAGATCAGTTTGTCAGATTGCAACGAGCATCATTAAGACAAAGATACACTTTATACATTCTTTGCAGTATTACGAGAAGCACTCGTGATACTGCAGGCGAAAGTGTTGATGATTCTGGAAAGAAAAGTTTTCACCCTAATCGTGATCGCATGATTTTTCCTTTTCATCCGCGCACTTGACGGCGGGCGCGCGCGAGTAGAGTATAAATAGTATAAATACACAGCCCACACAGAGCTCGGCGAGATCCATTTCCAGGGTACAGCCTGTACACGCGCCTGTCCGAGCGCGCTAGCATGACTTTTCTTTTCCTTTCCTTTCCTCTTCCACACGGAATTGTGATTGTTGCGTGTTCGATTAACCCGAGTGACCTCACCGAGTGCATGATCCGATTGAGAACTCTCCTTATACCGCCCCGCACCAGTATTTGGATAGTCGTTTCGTACGACGGAGAATATGATCCTATCCTCCCATCCTGGATTGCTCTTGACCGACGACCGCGAGTGCGAGTGCGACAAGAGGCACTCGCGTCTATCGCGTGGATAGGGGAGCATAATACGGATCCATAATACGGCCTATACGGGATGGTAATGGGATCGCTAAATCGCTTCCATCGGCTGCGTAATCGAGTGTTTAGTTTCCTTGGATTACGCCGACGAGTCCATACACTTTTCTATATGTTGATAACTGTTCCTCTCCGTCATATCCTCTCTCCCGCCAAGTCAGAAATATGGTGTCACAGATTAACGCAGACGGAAAATCGTTGCTACATTGTTATGCCAATTTTTTGTTTGTGGGGGAGGGGGAGGTGGTCGCTTGGATGAATCTTGTTCACGGCCGAATCGTCCGGATCGTCGTATTATTAAAATCGTCGTATAGAGTCCGTCCCTCCCGATTGCAAACTCACGACGCCTGTCTTTCTCCGTGTCATTCGGCAATCCCGGGGCGACCTGAGAGGGACGCGTACCTGAGACTGTTGCGTCTCTGTTACTCCCTGTTTCAGAAATCCCGCGGAGATGTCTCACACTTGCCGCGGCACCATTTCCTTACACGGGGCCTTAATACACACGGTGGACGCCTGCACCTTCGTCGTGAGCAACGGCGGCACGCAGACCTTCCACATCAAGGCGTCAACCGAGGTGGAGCGGCAGCAATGGGTCACGGCTCTCGAGCTGGCAAAAGCCAAGGCTATCCAAGCGATGGAATCTGGTTTGTACGATTGTTACGATAGATCGTGCCTGTATATTGCGTAAATATGCTGTCGTTTTTTCGGTGCTTTTCTACATCTATTGACATTTTCTCGCGATGCTTTTTTCCATCTTCCATTCAAGGGAGCCTAAAGTCGTCTGCTTCTTTAGCAACTCGGTAGGATCTTCATATACGTACACATTTACTAATCTCTTATTTACTAATCTTTTATATTAATTATCCAAGTCTAATTCTAGGAACTCAATATTCTTTATTCACGTAATCCCTAATCCGCGAATCAAGATTGTTTTATTATACACGTTCAAAGTATAGCATATAAAGCAAATTAATATTGTTTATACGAATCGACGCTGAAAGCCGACGCAACTAACAAAACTAATTTTCCAACTTTTTTTCGTTTTTAATATAAACTCAATCGGTTGGATTATATTATCGTTTATACTTTAAAAAAGGATTTTTAAACCTGTGTATAAAAGAAGTTAGAAGAAATATTTATTTAAAAAATAAACGGTAATATATGTAAGGCGACTTTAGGATTCCTTTAATCCTCCATCTCTGCAATCTGAATCTTTTTCAGCATAAGCGAAATTGTACTCTCAGATTTCTTCGTCATTTTTGCTGAACTTTCAATTTTTACAATGATGGTTTTAACATTTGAGCTAAAAAACTTATTTAGTAATGTAATAGAGATGTTGAAAAATTACTTTCAAGTTTTTCCTATTTTAAAAGCCTAAAACAATAAAAAAAAATTGGATTGGATAAAAAAGATCCAGATTGCAGACGGACGGAGTAAAAATATGTGATGTATATATTACAAACAGAGAGTTAAATTAATAACCGTGGACGATTAATATCTGTAAATAGTTTGGCTTAAGATATTTTAATTTGATGCACAGAAAGTTAAAATGTAATAAAATTTTCATTTTGATGGATTCGTCAATTAGAAACTGATTTTATAAACATTGAAAAAGGTTTTAAAATCGATATACATGAACAATAACTTGAACATTTTTGTTAAATAAATTTTAATAAGCTAAAGTATTTCTCTATATTTATATACGATACTCGCGCGCACGCGCGTATATCAGCAGTTTAATAAATAGGTATTTGAAAAAATGTTTTTGTGTGTGTGTGTGCGATATAGTAAAATAATCAAATTCAATCTATTTCCTGAAGAGAGTCAATATATTTATTACGAATAGATTTTAACTTTATTAATTTTAACATATATGAATTAACCTTCAAGAAAGGCTTATCTTCTTTATTCTCTCCATTTATTAAGTGTTTGAGAGATTGGAAAATATCTCGTATAAAATGTTGAATTCAGAATTAATGTGATTTATGTATTTTAGAGATATAAAGTTCGAATTGCAAAGTTAATATTAAAAATTTGAGATTTCTTCGTGAATTTGAATCAACTGTTGTACAGTATTAATAGAATATTCCGTTGCTATAATTAATTTAATGAACGCGTTCTTACATCTATTATAGATTATTGTACTATACTGTGTGTAATTAATGAATTTGATTTGCATCGCAAACGACTGCAATACCGATACGATAATTGTACATTTGCATAACTGTCGTGTGTTGCACCTATCTTTTTCTTATATATTATTGAGCTTTAGTACTTCGGCGACGTTATGCGGCGAAATCTCTTTTAGAAGAAGAGGAGGAGGAGTATCAAGATAACGACAATCAAAACGTAGAAACTGCGTCTGTGATTAAGGATCTAACGCGACGACTGGATGATCTACAAGCGTGCAATGACTTGATGCTTAAGCAGGGATCTGGGCTCCAACGAGCTTTATCCGATTTGGAAATGATAGAGCCTCCGTCCCCCGAATTAGCAGCGAAATTCAAGATCGTCAGCGAACGAGCCACACTTTTCCGGATTGCGGCGAATGCTATGATTAGTGTAAGTTCAAACCAAACGATAATCTGCAAAATTGTACGACGCAAAGTCGTAAATCTGCGAATGATACTTTTTTTCCCTGCATTTATTTGCGAATCTTGTAATAGTGGCACCATATCATGTTATCTGATTAGAAAATCTAGTTTTTTATTTAGAATTCCTCTGTTTTTCTCAATGTCAAGACTCAATCTCAATATCAACACTCCTGGCTGCAGTAACTTTTTAATACAGCAATATTAAGCCGTCAAAATCTTTAAATATTCTTAAAAAATCAAGTTGAATTAGGGATATTGCACGATGTGGGATCTGAGTAATGCTTCGAAAGATGATAACATTAATTTGCCATTATTTTACTGAACTTGCTGAACAAACTCTTGAACTTGTTTTGTGAACATCTCGTAAATCTTATCGTAACGATATACATACGTGTGTGTGTGTGTGTGTGTGTGTGTGTGTATATATATATATATAGCATAACTGAGCGTGATTCATCCAACGAGTGGAAAAAGAAGGGGGAAATCTCGAGATACAGTTAGTAATGAACTTTTTATATGAATGATACGTTCAAAGTCTACGTTCGTACGTAGAAATTCGCAAGATTTGCAAAGAGCAGAGGTCAATTCTCTTGCCAATCAGAGTTGTCTCATTCACGAAATTGCCCTCGACATTGGCACTCTCTCTATTGATGCGATTTATCACCGATGTGATCTCACACAAAACGCAACTTATGACAACAGATTGAACATGTTGCAGACGAGCAGCGATTACTTGCAACTAGCCCAACAACAAGAGCCTAAGTGGAAAAAGATGCTGCAGCACGAGCGTGATCAGAAAGTACGAATAGAGAAAATGGTCGAGCAGTTAGCTAGACAACATTCCCACCTGGAGGAAGCCGCGCAACATGCGATTCCTTCAGCGACGCCTGCGGGAGGACACAGACCTTCACGTAAATCAATTGATTTCTATTCTTTTCTATTTCGTTAACATGCACTTGTTGGCGCATTTTTAATACTTTTACTGCCGTATTATTGCTTAAAATCACCAAATTTTATTTAGTTTTAGAAAACGATAATAATGAAATCTGTTTTAATTTGTTAAACAGAACTTTGTTTATCAATACTTAAAAACCGCTCTTTTAATATATGCTTTTTAATAATATTATTTAGAACCAATTTTTCTTTAACAAAAATAACAAGTAATAAATCATTATTAACCGATTATTATCGGTTTTCTAATTTTTTATATCTTTGTATAACTAGTTCAAAATTAAAATTCTCTCTCTATAAAAGATACCACCATCTGAACTTGTCTGAAGTATAGTTTTATTACTCAAAATTAAAAAATTGAAATTAATTAAAAAATTTTGAAGAGAAGGAGAGAGAGAAAGGACATTAGATTTATATACATGCTGCACTATTAATTAGTCTCCAGCCTATAACCGGAGATTCTTTACGAAACAAAAATTATACTTAAAAATTCCCATCTCGCGTTGGCATTTAGCCGAGTTAGCCCTCGCTCGAGTCTGCATTTTATTTATCTTTTTTCTTTCTCATATAAAAAAATGATATACATTCGTGAGACGTGGGAGCGGAATTTAAATCTCAGCGGCTGCAATCGGTTGTCCGTGTTCGCGCTAGATGGCATCTCTAGGAGGCATCGCCGCGCCGATGCAACGCGTCGCGTTGTCACGTGATTACGTCAGCCGTGGTCTACGTACGTCTACGTATGCATCGTCCATCCGTAAATCCGTATACGGATTACGATTGGCGCTGTACACATAGGAGAAAATAGAGGGTTTATCCGCGCTGTGCTCTCATCTGACGTCTTCCGTCCCGTATATAGGTAACGTGATAATTTATGTATATCGTACGTACGTCCGCACACGACACGGTCGGGTGTGCTGCTTCCTCTCCTCCGAGAGTCGGAGGCTTAATCGGCGGGAGCCCGGAGAGCGGTTGGAGCGGTCTCGCAAATCATGGTAGTGGAGAATCGTTTTTTATTTCCGTTATCTCCGATAACGCGGGATACCCCCCCGAGTTCCGAACGGTGCGGTCGCTTTTGGTGCAGACAATGGGATGATCGGTGCGGTCGAAGGTAACGATAATTGCCCGAGAAAAATACAATGACGGCTCGTTGGCGTTTCATAATGATTCTCTCGGTCACCGGGAGTCGCGGAATTGGCGCGGAATCGAGAGGAGAGCGGAAATCGCGTGTGATTCGATTAGAGGGGAGTGTGCGTTCAGCGTTGGTTGTATCCCTCGAAGAGAGAAGAAAGAGGGTGTCGGGACGGAGCGGAGCGGAGCGGAGCGGACGAAGCCGTACCTCCGCAACGCCGCGCCGCGTCAGTTTGATGATTGAGCGAGCACTGAGCAGTGAGCGCCGAGCGGGTCACGGGCCGGAGCACTACACTCTACAGAGCGCGGCGGCACATTCGATTCGATTCGACGCGACGCAACGCGACGCGACGCGACGGAAACGGGAGAAAGGCAAAGGAGGGTGGGCAGAGCCGAGCTCGAGCGCGAGCGCACGAAATCGGTTTATCGGTCGCGCGAAATGAACCCCAACTCTCGACTCTCGAGACGGACCCACGCGGCGGTCTTGCCGCGCGCGGGGCTCGCGGGACGTCATATCGATTCTTTATTACGCGATACGATCTCACGAACGCGAACGCGGGTGACTCGCGTCAACTGGCGTAATTTGCACGCGCCTTTTCCTTCCTCCGAATCCCGCGTCACTCTCAACGACCAACACAACTCGATTCCGTCACGCTGCGCCGAGATAAATACTTTATCCTTATCTCGATGCTTATCCAGACACGACTTTGTGCAACATTCCGCGTTCACGTGCTCCGTCCAATTTTTTACTTGTCCCAGCTCGAAATTTCTACGCGACGTCATACCTCACATTCCGCGTTCCGCTTGTCGCTTGTCAAATGGAAAATTATCACTTTGCAGATCCCGCAATTACAACGTCACCGTCGGAGGATGAAGAGGATAACGCCGAATTTTACGACGCCCAAGAATCGGACACTTTCGCACTAACTATACCCATTGCCACGAGCAATTCCATTTCCCATGCGAGAGATCGCACCGATTCCCAAGGTAGCGACGATGGCTCCAGTTCAGAGGGAGATCCAACGCCCTTGCCTGTCTCCGATTCCACTGGAGCCGATTCCTTCCTCATTGTGACCGATTCCACTGCTGCGCAGACTCTCTCGGCTGTTAGAATCACCAACGATCTGGATATTGTAAGCGAATTACATTCTTTCTCTTCTTTCCTCCTCTCGAGTAAAATGACACGTAACGTAGGATGTATAGAGATGTTTTTTTTTTCTTCTTTTTTAACACTCTATAACACAGACAAGCTGGCGATCCAATAATGACAGCAGCAGCACCGGGATGACCACCATTTCAAAACGGAAACGAAGGACCAGGGTACCTGACAAACCAAACTATCCCTTGAACCTATGGAGTATAATGAAAAACTGCATTGGCAAAGACTTGTCCAAAATTCCTATGCCGGTCAACTTTTCTGAACCGCTCAGTATGCTTCAACGATTAACGGAAGACTATGAATACGCGGATATTCTTGACAGGTATAGTAGTATATTTTTTGTCGCGTCTCATTTATGCAAGTGAAATGACGATTGACGTAATTGTTTTGCTTTTTTATATATAAAAATAGGGCTGCGGAATGTACGGATAGTTACGAACAGATGGCTTTTGTAGCCGCGTTCACTGTGTCTAGTTACGCTACAACCGCCGCTAGAACGGGGAAGCCTTTCAATCCCCTTTTGGGTGAAACTTACGAATGCGATCGTACGGATGATCTTGGATGGCGCGCGATTTCAGAGCAAGTGTCTCATCACCCGCCTATGCTAGCTCAACATTGCGAAGGAAAGAAATGGCGATGTTGGCAAGAGTTTACAATGGCTTCTAAATTTCGTGGAAAATATCTGCAGGTACAATGTCTTGATACATCTGAAAAGACATACCGATTATACAATACATATCGCAAATAATCACGTCGTCAAATCAAATAATTACGCGCGCAACCGGTATGTATTGTTCTTTCTAAATACAACCGTTTTGAAAATGGAATTTTGTGATTTTGCTTGAATTAGGTGATTCCTTTGGGTACTGCTCATTTAGAATTTAATAGTGGCCAGCATCATTACACATGGCGAAAAGTCACTACTACAGTACATAATATTATAGTCGGGAGATTGTGGGTCGATCAGAGTGGCGATATGGATATTGTAAATCATAAGGAAGGTATCAAGTGCCATTTGAAGTACATACCGTACTCGTACTTCTCGCGAGATAGTCAGCGCAAGGTAAAGGGCGTAGTCATGAATTCCAACAAAGAAGTCAAGTGGGTAGTGCAGGGTACGTGGGATTCAAAGATCGAAATAGCGCCGGTAATCAGCACGTCTGGCACACCCGATAATCCAGTTTATAAAACAGGTCCTTATATATTAGCTTGGAAACGACGTATGCCTACGTAAGTATACAGCAATAATATCCGTGTAAAAATTAAACTTGTTTATTTATTTCACTTGTTAAAGTTGTGTGTAAATTTTATATTTTTATCAACATATACATATATATATATATATATATATATATAGATCGACGACTTTTTCCAGTAGAATGCATTTCCATGCTGAAAAGTATATCTCAAAACAAAAATCGATCGAAAGGATCTTTTATTAGAGAGGAGGCCACAAAAAAAAACTTTTTTCGCGACCGTTCATGGATCGTTTTATTTCTACACTTTCTTATGTATTTTTCTTCGTGAAAACCGAAAATGATGATGACAGTGATGACCGTACGCTGAAGGAAAAATTGTTACGTTTATGAAATAAAGTTAATTAGCTAATTTCCTTATTGACATCGTTACGAAATCGCTATCAATTATGCTTCAATCATTTAAAAATTAATTCTTGAATCAGCAACTGTGTAGTAGTTTGTAAATTATTCAAGTATAATTGACAATTTCAACGATGTGAATGAGGATTTTAGTCTTTATTTCAATGTATCAATTTTTTCCTGAATATAGCGCTCTTATAATTAATTAATAATTTTCGATTAAATTAATAAATAAAATTATCCCCGCACGATCGCGAAATAATAAAAGTTGTGTGTGTATCCTCCTCTTTACTTATACATAATATCTGAAAAATATATCTGAAATATATTTCAATACTTAAATATAATATTGCAGCGAAGACTCTGAGAAATATTATACATTCACGGAACTAGCGTGTCAATTGAACGAACCAGAAGAAGGTATAGCTCCAACGGATTCTCGATTGAGGCCTGATCAGCGATTAATGGAGGATGGACGGTGGGACGAAGCCAATGCAGAAAAATTGCGTTTAGAGGAAAAACAAAGAGCTACTAGACGAGCTCGCGAGCACGACTCCGAAAAGGCTACTGCACAAGGTATGTTTGTTTATATGGTTAAATCGTGAAAATTAAGCTCCTCTTTTATGCTCATAGAATTTTGTATTTCTCCACAGGATTATCTTATGAGACGTACGATCCTCTATGGTTTAGAAAGAAGCAGGATCCGTACACGGACAGCCGTTGTTTTGTTTATAATGGCGAATATTGGGATCATAAAAGCAGAGGTGACTGGTCACGATGTCCAAACATATTTTAGTTCGTTATGTAGATAGATTCGATTGCAATGACTCTGTCACATACATGCAGTGCGTGAAGAAGTTTTGGATCGTTTAAAAGTGACGATAGCCGAAATTAAAAGTCGCGACCGCTCGTGGTCGAGATTTAAATGCTTATGAAATATAACGTTGACGTGATAATGGGGTTGTTACGGGATGTGATTTAGCAATTAATTCTTCCAATGAAGTGGACGAAACTTGTTGGCAACTCTGACATGTACAATATGCAATTTGTACTTGCATGTCATCGCATTCGCTATTCTTTTCTACCTCTCTCCCTTTCTTTCGTTTCCCTTTTTCCTCCCTGTCTTTCTTTTTGTCTCTATTTTCGAAGCTAATATCTAATACCCTCAACACGCATGATATTTTGTTAATATGCACTTGCGTGCTATTTTTTTTTTTTTTTAAGATTTTGTGCTAAAATAATAAGTAGCCAATCTTAAATTTTTGCGTTTATTACATTAGCTATATGTAAGAATTTGTAAAAAAATCGAAGCTTGAGCAAGTCGAGAATGAATTCTGAATATTTCACTACTTTAGCCTAAAATCAAGATTGCAATAAGACTGTGTAAGAAGAGAGTATAAAGAACTTTTGTCATTGAAGAGGAAGGATTTCAAATCAAGTTCAATGTTTTATTTTATAATATATTCAGTATTCTCAATTTATGTTTAGGTAAATATAAATCTAATTTTCGAGAAAGAATTTGAACTGAAGTTTTACCGAAGTCGCGATCGATGTGCTATTATATGTATATGCAAAAATCCTGTGTGAATTTCATTATTTTTAATCTATCGTAATCCACATGGTTGAAAGTATTTGTATAAATACAGAGAAAGATGTGCAACGAGAATTAGAATCGAGTCGATACACTCGATTTGAATTAATATAAAACAAGATACGATGATTTCTCTCATTTATTTTTACTATACTTATTTATTTTTACAGAGAAAAAGAAAAACATCTCCATGTATTAAAAATCCAATTGATTTTTTAACGCGTGTCAGTAGTTTTAATTTTTTTTTTTTTAATAATTCTCTCATTGCGCACTTTCTACTCTATCTGATGTTACAACAACAAAGTCTGAGAAGTGTTGGAAGTGTTGAAAATAAATCTTGATGGAGAAGAGTATTATAAATACAAGAGGAACAGTAAAACTACATTGGAAGATTTATTCAGTGATTTCAAATGCAGGCGCGCAATGATTAACGTTTTACACACGTAATAAACCGACGACGATGATGCTTCCAAGTTTGGCCAGCGTTTTTTTTACAAGAGGCGAGAAGGAAAGAGGAAAAAAAAAGAAACCATGCCATTTCACGTCTGCACAGATTTCAAGCACGCTAGATACGCTCCGAATACTTTACCAAGCTGTAACGCAGAGGCATGCGACGCGCGTTATCACCGAAATGGAACGACAAAAGCAAATCGAGGCGCGAATCGAAGGCTCCTAAGTGCTGCTCCGCCCGATTAAAGAGAATCGAAATCGGGTCCCCGAATGTAACGATCGTTTGTTTGTTTCTCGAAATTATCGCTGTAGCATAGAAAGACGCGTGCACCTATAGGCACGTGCGACCGATTTATAGCGAATGATTTGCGTGCGTACGTATGTATGTGTTTGTATGTGTGTATGCCAGTATGTACATAAAGCGATTAATTGGTGAAACTTATTGTATATCCTTCTTACTTATGAGCACATAGGCCATTCCATTCGCGATATTATCAGGTACATACAAGCTGCCTTGTACAAGTATATACCTCGATAAACCGAACGGAAAGACTAGCTTGCAGCCAATGTCTATAATGATCATTATGCTAAGTCCTCTGGCTGTATTATAATTTTAATGGTTTATAATAATTGAAATTATATATATATATTATACACACGCCTGTATACATATAAATACAAAAATTATAAAAATAAATAATTTAACGAGATACGGTTGTGTGTGTGTGTGTTTTGTGAGTGAGAGAGAGAGAGAGAGAGAGAGAGAGCGCAGAATAATGAAGCTGAATCATAGTACTTGTACATTAGCCAATTCGTGTGAGGGAGAGAGAAAAATACAAATATGCTTCGCTACAAAGGGATATTCATTTCGTGGCGTCTCCTTTATAGCCACCCATCGTCAATCGCGTAAAAGGCCGTAATTGTATCATAAGCGACTCTTGGTTTTGTCGAATAAATTATATTGAATCAATTATATATGAAAGGACTGTAAAAACGCGATTTGAATTAATACGGATTAATGCCCGTTCCCACCAATGTAGATTAACTTTAATCTCCATTGGATTTAACATATCGTTTATCCTTTTTTAATTTTTATGCTCGTTTCCACCAATTCTAGAAAAGAATGAAACTAGTTTACGTTTAATTCTTTTCTAGAGTCTTATAAGAATTAGAAAAAGATAAAGAGTAAATTAAACTGTGCAATTAAAGTTAATCCACATTGATAGAAGAAATAAGCATATATAACTCATCTCTGTCTACAATTTTGAGAATTAGAAAAAATGAAGAATAAATTAAATCGCGCGAGATTAAAATTAAACTACATTGGTAGAAACAAACATTACAAAAAGATGAAGAATGAGTTAAACTGAGATTAAAGTTGATCCGCGTGGAATTTGTGTGGAACCAGACAGATCGAGTTTGTTGAGAGAATATTTTATATTGATTTTATACTTTTTACAGACATTTAGATTTATTGGTTCCTTTTTGATTCAGGAGTTTTTTTGCGATACCACGCAGTAGAAAAAATAGTTTTCTTTCTCAGTAGAAATTTTTTAATAAGTTGTAAAATTGATTTTTAATATTTGTTCTGTATGATATTTGTATCAACGTATATAATATATGACGATATAGAGCATGGGGAAGAAATGAACGGTCGTTGTTTGAGCAATTTTTAAAAAATTTTGAAAATGTCCGATCAGTTTAGCACCACAGGGAGAGGAGAAACTCGATAAGATACATTGCAAATCGTGTCGTGGCGTGACTGACGAGTCTTGACTTTTGATCGTCTAATGCCCATTTCCACCAATGTAGATTAACTTTTAATCTCGGTTCAACTTTTCGTCTTTTTCTAACCTTTAGAACTAGAAAAAGACAAGGAGTTAGTTGAACCGAGATTAAAGTTAATTTGCGTTGGTGGAAACGGGCATAAATCGTCTTCGTCGTTCGGTCCGGCCGGCGCGGCGCGGCGGTTTCCCGGTTCGCCTTCCGCCAATTCCGTCGGATCTGATTCCGTGCGTTCCTCGGCGTTTCCGCGGCGTTTTGACGGAGATGAAAGCTTAGAACTTGGAACAGAGCCGGAAAGCAGACTTGGCAGTCTTGGCACTCTTAGCAGACTAGCGCTAGCGGAGGGGCGGCGCGCCGGGCGATTAAGGCGGTTAAGGCGGGTACGACGTATCTCGCGATTCACGTAGTATGTACCATACGTACATACGCGAGCTGTTGAATCTATTGCGATGAGGTCGTTTTCAGCAGAAGAAACAGAGAGAGAGAGAGAGAATGTTTTTTTCGTTCGCAGGTCGCAGGTCGCACGATCATAATATCATATGTATTGGTACGTGCGTAGGGCGTACTGCGTGCGCGCTTGCGCCTGCGCCTGCGCACTCGGTCCGTCCGTCCGTGATGGCGTGATCCGTCCCGAGATGGCGGCGGAGAGGCAATGACGTCACGGGCGTAGTAATACACGGCGCGAGCGCATGGCGAGCGGAGTCAATCCGCGGAGCTGCTGCGCGAGAGACTGGGAACTGCTTTCGATTGTTGGCGGGCGCCGCCATCTTGGTCAGTGAGCCTGCGAGTGGTCTGTACGTCTGTGGTGCGGAGTGGCTTCGTTGTGCGTATTTCAGGCGATCGTTTGCCGAACGGCGTATTCCGTGCGCGCGTCTCTCCCCCGCGTGAGTCTCTCGTTATTCATTTAACCAGTGAGATCCGCACGCATCCGAGATGTCGGAACGGGAGGACAACGTTTACAAGGCGAAACTGGCCGAGCAAGCGGAACGCTACGACGGTAAGTTGATATTTCCCCTTTTCGCTTGCGAGGGGGGGGAGGTGGACAGAGGGGACGGAATCTAGCCGGTTCGTCGACGCGAAACCGCGAAACCGATCTACGTCCCGCGCGATCTATTCGCGTCTCGTGCATCGCGTCAACGGGCTCTCCTCTCCTCTCCTCCCCCCCCCCTTCCCCCTTTGTTCGCATCGACCAGGTCGCGGACCATCGTTGCCGATCGTGGCCGTCTGGCGGACCGATGTCCTCGTGATAGCCCGCGACCCATCGGACAATTTCCTTTCTCGACGAATAACCTTTCCTATTCTTTATCATACTCTGATGGTACATACTCTCCCGGGGCTGTCGCTCTCGTTGGAGCGCGTCGTATCTGTCAAAATTGGTGGCGGGCGCGATCATTACGGCGTTATTCGTCATAGCCGGCGGCGTTCCTTTGTGGCGGCGCCGGACGCGATATCGCCCCGTGTCATTCTCGACGGTCGATCCGGCGAGGCCCGCCCGTTCGCTACTTCGTCCGTCCGTCCGTCCGTTCGTTCGTTCAATCGTCGAAGCCCCGGGGGGGCCTGCCGCGGGACGAGACGACGGATCCCCCGTGCGTTTTCTCGACTTGCGTTAGACCTGCTCTTTTAGCTGAAATTGTCGCGCTATTCAGCTCTCTTTTTTTCTTTTCTTTTCCTGCGTGAAGAGAAAAGGAAGATGAACCATGTAAGAAGAGTTGATCTGTAATAAAGAACGGATGAGAGTTGTCTCGCGGCCCGATTCCTTTGGATTCCGTGCTTCGAAAGTCCTGATCGACGCTGGACGTTGCCGTTGCTAGGCGTGCTCCCGGTTCTCCGCCTCGTCGCTCTTTTTCACCTCCTACCCTGGAGAGTTACATGTCTCTTCGGCAGATAAGCGAAGCGAGACAGGTTCGTTTCTCTCTCGACAACGGACGGTCATGGGACTCGTGAATGTTGATGACGTATAGACACGTCGAGGCGCCTTGGCTAATCGCCCCGCCACCGCCACCGCCATCGCCATCGCCGCCGCCGCCGGGTTATTATACCACGGATACACGCAGTAAGTCGCGTGTTCCGCTCGTGGCATCTGGCCTTGAGCGCGCGCGAAGAAATCACTGATTGTGGATTCGATCGACCGAGAAGAGTTACCGTTCAATATCATATTATCCATGGTGGAATTAGACATGATTTCATCATACATTTTATCTTTGTTCAACATTCTGCGAAGAAAAAGAATAAAATAATATGTGGATGCACCCGGATAAATTTTCTAAACGCAGTCAAAAGCCAAAAATGAGAAGAGCCAATGTCGTTCTTTTTTTTCCTCTTTTCCGACCTCTTTTTCAACCTCGACAGAGAGAGAGAGAGAGAGAGAGAGAGAGGGGCGAG